AGAATGGCTTGTCTTTGCTTCTTTGGAGATTTGACCTTCAGAGGGATAGAGGCCCTCTCTGGGCTCACCCACTCGCTCCCTGCTGTGCCCACCTGCCTCTGCCCATTTCTCTGGGTCTGCTTTTGTCAGGCCTTGGGTGTCCTCCTCCCTTGTTGCTCCTGCCTCCTCCCTATTGGAGGGCCTGTGGTTTTCCGAGGTGTCACCTGGGTTTCTCAACAATCTTACTTCAAACTTTCTGTTTTCATTTTCATTCTTTTCTTCATCTTTAATCTCTTTTCCACCTATAATGAAAATGCAAGAGTAAGTCTTCCTTCACAATTGCTTAGGGTTCAATAAGCAACAGCCTTGGTAATCACTACAAAATCACTACAAATCCTGAGAACCTTAAAAACAGCTTGGATTTTGTTGTTGGTTTTTTGTTTTGTTTTGTTTTTTGTTTTGTTTTGTTTTTTTTGTCAGAGGGCACATGATGTATTTGCTAGAGAGAGATCAAGAGAGGGAGAGAGGAGAAAGCACCCCCCACCACCACCACCCACACACTCCCACACTTTCTTCTCTCCCTCCTTTTGAGATTTTTGGTCAATTGCACACACACATACACACACATTCCTGGCATGTTTCTCAAGCTGTACAGTGGCCATGTGAGATCTAGCTGCCTTAACAACTAGGCCACAGAGCAGAATTTTTTTTAAGTTTAGAGAATATACTCAGATTCCTTTCAAAATCAAATGCTATGAAAGCTCCTTGACTGTATTTAAATCTAATAATAAATTCTCTGTATTTTTAATTCTTTCATAATAGCAAGCTAGCATCTCTCATTGGTATTATCAATCATTAAATTATATTTCAGATATGATTTAGAAAATGTTAAAATTTAGAACCAAAAGAAACTGTCATTCATCTAGTCCAATTTTTTTTTTTTAGAAGAAGAAATTGAAATTTAGATATAATTTGAAACCATTCTTTACGTATTTACTCCAAGAGGGTTAAAAAGTTAGCATTATGGGGCCAGCTGGTGGTGTGGAGGTTAAGGCAGCTGGATCCCACATGGCTCACTGTGTGGTTCAATTCTCAAACCTGGTGGCATGAAAAACACACTGTGTACACATGCATGAGTGCCCAAAATCCCAAGAGGAGGAAAAAATGCATGAGAAGGGATTACAACATGACCATCCCCTGTAGGGGGTGCTTTCTTTCTCTCTCTCTCTCTCTCTCTGTTCTGTCGCTATCTCCCTCTCTCTCCCCCACACACACACACACACACACACACACACACACACACACACAAAGTTAGCATTATGTAAATGGCTCTAACTATAATCTAGCTGAAGTTAAATAGCCAATATGGGAAATATCAAAATTTAAAGGAGAATTTAAAATATTTTAATTTTTAGGGACGAGAAGGTGAAGTAGTGGTGGTAAAAATACACACTAACTCTGCAAGGCAATCCCACATGAGGAGGTTCTGGGTTTGTGTCTGAAGGCCTTTCTGAGTAAGCCATGCACGTGCCTGCCCATGATCCAGGGCTGGGAGTGGATAATGGCATCAAGACCCTACTGGGAGTGCTTGTTCTCTTTCTCTCTCTCTCTCCCCTATCTCTCCTGTCTCTCTCTCTCTCTCCCCTCTCTCTCCTCTCTCTCTCTTTCCTCTCTCTCTCTCTCTCTCTCTCTCCCCTCTCTCTCCTCTCTCTCTCTCCCCTCTCTCTCCTCTCTCTCTCTCCCCTCTCTCTCCTCTCTCTCTCTCATATTCAGAGAAGAATTAAAGTTTTTAAAATTTTAATTTTAGTTTATAAGACTTTTATTATTCAATCAACTTACTCAGCCAACTGTGTAGACTCAGTCTTGCCAGAAGTGACAATGTAACTTAGTAATGCGTGATAGGAAGGGTGTATAGTGTATACTTCACAGCAGAAGAAAGGCCATTTCTTCCTTCAGTCAGGTCCCATCACCCAACATATTTCCAGATGTCGAGGATGAACCTCAGTGTCCTGTGTTCTTTTTGTGTGTTGGAAGTCAGCAGTAGATGGTATAACTGATATTTTAATTGAGTGCAGTTCTCTTCCATCTTTTCTGAATGTCAGTAACTCCTTTACTGAATCATTCTGCATCCCCATGAAAGCAAATATGCAATTAACACTGTCTGAGTTGTGAGCTGGGAGGGCTTGGGTTTCAACTTATATCACTGAGCTCAGACAGAATGCCTGAAGCCCAGGTCACTGACCCTTCTGGGTCTATATTGCAGAAGCCACTAGCCCTTGGTGGCTATTGAGCGCTTGATATGGGGCTGGTCCAAGTCAATTCATGTGATATGTACAAGATATACACCAGATTTCTAAGACTGTATATGAAAATAGAGTAAAATATCTTAATAATTTTAAATAAATTTTAAGTTGAAATGATATTATTTTAAGTAATTAGGTAATATACATTGCAAATACATTCATTACATGAAAATTATATATTGGATAAAAATAAAATATTGTTTGGGCCAGTAGGTAGCATAGTGGTTAAAGTACTGGACTCCCACATGGCTGACTTCAATTTAAATCCTAGACCTGGCATCCTGAAATTCATGCCAGGCACATATGCGTGTTCGCCCAGAATCCCAGGAGGAGAATAGAGGAGAGGGGATTTTGGCATGGCCATCCCCCCTGGGGGGTGATTTCTCGCTTTCTGTCTCTCTGTCTCTCTCTCTTTCTCTCTCTCTCTAGTGAGTTCATGTGCCCTATGGCAAAAACCTTTAAAAATAAATAAGTAGTAAGACATAGTTAAAATTTATTTTGCCTCATTTTACTTCTTAAATGTGGTTACTAGAAAATTAGAAATTATATCTGTGACTTACGTTATATTTCTATTGACCCGTGCTGATGAGTCATTTTGAACTGATACTTGTAAAGCGGGAAAAATTGATCTGTTTTATAAATATATACAAGCAATAGTGGACTACATGTAGCTCTCTGCTTAAAGCCCAGTCTGGCATGGCATCACATTAATCAGGGAAATGGAAATGTACCTGAGCTTCCACACCCAGACGCCCGAAGGCTAGCTCAGCTGTCCCCCAGCCCCTTGGCTTTTAAGAGCCAGTAGGGGTATGCGCAGCATTGGGCAAGGGCAGCCAGGTGGGCACAGGTAAGCTGGGAGGCTTTGGGCAGTGCCGTGGACTCCACGTGTCCCCTGAAAATTCATATGTTGAAACCCTAATCCCCGATGTGATGGTAATTGGTGGTGGAACCTTTGGGAGGTAATTATGCTATGAGGATGGAGCACTCATGGTGGGATTAATGCACTTGGAAGAGACATGAGAGAAGGGATCTCTTCATTGGCCATATAAGGACACAGTGAGAAGGTGCTCATCTGTAAACCAAGAAGTGGGCCCTCACTGGACACCTTGATCTTAGACTTCTGGCTTCTACAACTGTGAGAATGAAATGTCTGCTGTTCATGCTGCCCAGTCTGTGGTGTTTGTCTCAGCAGTCTCAGCTGTGACAGCAGATGCTGGCATTATTCTGAGAGTCAGCTGAAATATAGGACCTCAGTCTCCAGGGGGCAGAGATTAATGTGGCCTCCTTCCTATGGCCTCCTGGCATGTGGGGCCTTAATGTCAGGAACAGAAGGATTTGTATTTTTTTTTTTTTTTGGAGAGATTTTCGCTATAGGGCGCGTGCGCTCGCCAGACAGACAGAGAGAGACATAGAGACAGAAAGCGAGAAATCACCCCCCAGGGGGGATGGTCACGCCGCAATCCCTTCTCCTCCATTCTCCTCTTGGGATCTTGGGCACGCACGCACACGTGCCCGGCGTGAGTTTTAAGCCACCGGGTCCGGGACACGAACCGCGGTCGACTACGTGGGAATCCAGCGACATAGCCATTACACTAACTGCTGGTTCCCAGGATTTGTATTTTTTTCCAGTTAAATGTGTACAGCCTGTAGCAGTTCATGCCTGAGGTTCAGGATTTCATCCTAAATTTAGCTTTTAGCCCCCACAAGTGAGGTTGGAAGAAAACCATAATTAGTAGTACACAGTCATTGTCAACCCATAAAACCAAGGTGTGAAGCTCACCCTTACTGTCAAGTAGAAGCAGAAAATACTGGCACCAGCTGGTGGCATAGTGGTTAAGGTACTGGACTCCCACGTGGCCAACCACAGTTTGAGTCCCAGACCCAGCAGCTTGAAACTCACACCGAGCTTGTGTGCATGTGTGCCCAAAACCTGAGAGGAGAATAAAGGAGAAGGACCTGCAGAGTGGCCATCCCCCCTGCAGGGGGCGGGAGTGGAGGGAGACAGGCGGTGATTTCTTGCTTTCTGTCTCTCTGGTGAGTGTACATAGCAAAAAATCTGTCTTTAAAAAAAAAAAAGGATGGAAAATACAACATGACAATAAGAATGACCAGATCAATCCCGGTCCAAGAGATTTTTGGAGCTGTGAAGAAAATGGACGATGTATTCCCTAAGGTCTCTTCAAGCCATAAAACAATGATTCTTCCCTACTTGCCAGGTGCCCATTTGCTCAATGAGTGTGTTCTGGCTCTGGAGACGTGAAGGAGAGAGTGAGGGTGGAGACTGGCCTGGGGTGAGAGAAACCACATAAAGGAATTCATCCAGCCAGTTGGTCAAGATCACCACTAGTCTTTTGATGCGCTTAACACATACCAGTAAGAGACAGAGGAACAGGACATTCGAACAGGACAGAAGTCACAAACTGGTAGTGCAGAGCTGACTTCTATCTGGTTTAAAGGCATTTTCATTAAATCTGAATTTAGAGGCAATACTTAAATATCAGGAGATGTCACTTCAAAATCAAAATCTTGGGGACCAGTTGGTAACAGCAGTAATGCTATGCTCTGTGAGACTGTTCCGCATGGAAGATTTGGGGTTCACATCCAGTGAATGATGGGTGCCTACGCCCATGATCTGGGGCTGGCTGTAGCTGGGGATGGATGAAGACCCTTTTTGGGGGGATGGTGCCTGTTTGTCTGTCTCTGTCTCTTTCACATTAAAAAAAGAAAGAAACTTTATTAAAAAATCAAAAACTTAACTTCTTTTGTATTAAACCAAGATCTGCTATCAGTCTTTACTTCTCTGTAATAGGATTGGAGCTGAAAAATACCTGCTCCCCTTCAGAAGGGGCATGTGCCTGCCAGTTCATGAGTCACTTCCTGTTTTGCCTTGAACCTCTATGTGATCTACCTGACCTTGCTGGTATTTGAGTTGCAACCCTCTTTTTATTTTTATTTTTTAAGAGTTTATTTTTGGCAGGTGGCATAGTGGTTAAGGGTGCTGGACTCCCACATGGCCGATAGCGTTCTAGTCCTGGACCTGGCAACTTGCTTTCTCACTCCTCCCCCCCACCGCTTCTTCTCTTTCTCTCTCTCTCTCTATCACTCTGTCCCTCTTTGGTCAGATTTAAATAAATAAATAAATACATTTAAATAAAATAAATTAAAAAAATTTTTTAGAGAGGTTTGTGCCACAGGACGTGTGCGCTTGCCAGAGAGACAGACAGACAGAAAGAAATCACCCCCGGGGGGATGGTCACACTGCAATCCCTTCTCCTCCATCCTTCTCGGGATCCTGGGCACACATGCACATGCGCCCAGCATGAGTTTAAGCCATCAGGTCCCGGACTCAAACCATGGTCGACTATATGGGAATCTAGAGAAACAAAAAGAGTGAGGCAGAGGGACAGGTACCCCCAATAGGGTCTTCAAGCCATGATCTACTCCCAGCATCAGCCAGCCTGAATCATGGGTGTAGGCACTCACCGTTCATCAGGAGGCCCTGAACATGACCCTGGAAGTGAACCAGAGACCTTCCCTTGTGGGTCCAGCTGTCATCACTGCACCACCATCTGGGTCCCTGCAGCTCTTTCTGATCTCAGCATTCTTTTTTTCTGTAGATTTATGTTTCCAGAGTCCCTATAGACTGGGTCATTTGATTTTTATCAGTTTGCCTGGGGCTGCAAAGATATCAAAAGACCTCTGGGCACAATCAGTGACATTAGAGGCTAAAATCAATATGGCCCTCTCCTAAAAAGCTAAAGATCTGGTCTTGGCAGACCAGCAGAGCTCCACGTTCACTGGCTTTCC